TCGAGTCTTAACTGCATTTTGTGCGGCAATAAGTTAAAGCCCTTCATCCCAAGCCCGCAGATTTTATTGCCGTGTATCCACGGTTCCTGGGTGAGGGCAACGTCGAGTCCACCGGCAGCCAGGCGGACCTCAAGGTTCGCAGACGCGAGTTTAGAGTGGTGCAGGTTGATCTGGATCAGCTTCCTCAGAATCTAACCGTTTTACCACCACCATCGTGACATCCACCCACGTCCGCCTCTTCGATCTCCTCACCCTCGGTGTCATTGGCGAGAAGGTCTTCTTCATAAAATATTGGCCCCGAACCGCATAGCCTCTCCGAGTGGGATGAGCATTGGCTGCTGGGCAACCCTTCTTCACCACCAAGGTCCAAGCTCGGCTCGTCGCTGCAGTAGAATTCGAATTGCATCAACAAACCCGAATCTCACCCCCCCAATCCTTTTGCGCCAGTGGGGCTAGCGATTCGGCGTTGAGGATCAGCAACACCTGCCTTCTAGTCTCTACCGGCTCCTCTACCTTCCCTACCCTCCAATTGTGAGGTGCCAGGTCCTCATTATATATATATTATATATATAGGATCTAAAGATCCACTCACTTCTTTCAGGCTCGGCGGGTTTAGCCGGAATCCAAACTCGCAGCCCTCGGTCTGCTAGGAATATCTTCCTTGCTGACGGCCTCGAGCTTGGCTCCCGGCCAACCTGTAGAGCTGGGCTGACTTATGGTCCTCGCAGGCGATGAGTTTAGCTCTACCCTGAAACCAACCGGAATCATGGCAGAGAGGAGGAGGTCCAGGATCTTCCTCTAGGACTTGGAGGTAGATTTCGGCGATCGCTTCCTCCACCAACCTCCACTTCTCTTTGGGGATAGTTCCTTCCTCCTCCCCTCTTTCGATGATGGCTAATACCTCACCGCCTCCATTGACTACGTCCCTGCAGGTGGGGTATTTATGGCAGCCTGATTTCGGTCTTTTGGCGACCCTTTACCCTGCCTGTTCTGTTCAGCAGACCGCTGCCTTTTAGGAGCAGTGCCGGTTTTTCTAAGCTGGCTACTACTCCCCTCGCCCACTCCAGTGGCCTAACCTGCTCCTCCGTAAGCTGCTCTTTCGGCAGGTCCCCGAACCTGTTCACGACCCTCGTGACCGCGTTTTTATTATAATATGCCTGCTTCGAGGGGCGGACATGTTTAACCGACCCTCCAGGCCTGTGTTTACAGCTTTCCCTGAGCTGCCGGGAATGCCAGCAGCATCCTGCCGGGTTATTCTTGAAGCAGGTGCCGCACCCCGCCCTTGGGTTAAGGTGACGCTGCAGCTCCAGACGTGAATCGGTTGGAGACCGGTTTGCCCAAGCCTCCACTCCCCCTCTGCCTCCTATGGTACTCGTACCAGGACCAGCCCTACAGCTTAAGCCCCCTCTAGTTCCTGTCACTCATGGTCTGATCAATGCCCTGCTCGAGGCTGTAGCATTAATCGGAGCCACCCCTGTCGGTTTTTTTGGACGGCCGTCCTCCTTGTTAGATTTTGTGTGTTTTTAAAATTCGAACTCATAATTTTGGTCCCACGAGTGTCGGACAAAGAAGGTCCGCCCGCACAGAGGTCCGTGTGGGCAGGTAAGGCTTGATAGAACCGGAGATCGCCAGGTATCCGGAACACTCCGTTCGAGACTGGGCTATTTGTTAATCTGGGTCCCCAGCCAGGCTGAACATCAGCACGGGTCGTCTAACACTTTGCTCCAACCCAGAGCTTTTTTAAAGAGGTTTGCTCCTCCATAACCTCCATAGGCCACGATCAAAAACTATTTCCATATAACTAAGCTATTGAAGAGCTTAAGCACATAGCAATGATTTCTGAAATTAGCTGGACACCATTCTGACATCGTACAGAACCTAAATTGTAGTGGCCATTACCAGTCGGCACCCTCGTGGAGGGTTCAGCCGCAGGATTTTCGCCGACCCGGCTTACTGCTACATATTTCGGCTGAAAGGGAGAGGAACTTAGGCCAATCCGCTTTATCTGTTAAAAATTTTGCTCTAAGCTTAATCTGGTATTGGTTCGGTAGGTTGAGGGTGGTAATTAGAGGAAAATGATCGCTGTTATTGAGTTCGCTAAGTGCGTGGGATGACAGTTTGGGTCCTAGGGAGGCCGAAACGAGGGTAATGTCAGGATGGGTGAAGGTGCAATGAAAGGAAAAGTGAGTGGGTGAACCATCGTTAAGGACGATGGAGTTGTTGGATAGGATGATATCTTCAATAATTTCGCCTATACGTTTTGATGCTTGAGAGCCCCAAACTAGGCTCCAGACATTGAAATCAACTAGAAAGATGTAGAGAGGCGGAAATAGGAGCAGGCTATTTTGCAGTTCCCTACTATTAAAAGTTTAATGGGGCGGGATATAGTAGGTTATAATAGACAATTTAAAGCCAATGTCTGTTTCAACTGCTAAAGCCGAGATGTTGGATGGAATGTGAATAGCTTTATGTGTGAGAGATTTTTTCACAAAGTGGACAATTCCTTGTTTGCATGAAGAATTTTGGGGGAGGTTGACATTTTTGAAGTCATCGACTGAGTTCATTGGTGATGTAGTTTGATTTTGAGGGGTTAAAGCTGTTTCTAGTGTGACTGTTATTTTCTGTATTAAGGTTTCAATTGTGGATTCCGTTGAAATTTTGTTCAGTGTTGTTCGTACTGTTTGTAGTTATGGAGAGATGATGATAACAGGTTTGTATTACTTTGTTGTTAGCTACTTGAAATGTAATTTTCGGCTATAGCGAGAGGTGGTCAAGAAGTTTTTATGTCGCTTTGTTGTGGGTTATTTGGAATATTGTTAGAGGATGAAGAAAGAAGTGGTGAAGTTTTCGTGCTCTTTTGCTGTGTAATATTCAAAATGTTGTTTGCTGCTGCAGTAGGGAGTGGTGAAGAAATGCGTGTGTCATTTTGTTGTGAAATTGGAGTGTCTTTAGTTACAGTGGAAAAAGAGGTAGAGTACCCGTTGAGTTGAGGTAGAATTTACAATTTGTGTATTCTAATTGCTTCTCTCATTGAGCATTTGTTGTCGGTTCGGGAATAGCCTACTGGAAGCGGAGTGGTTACCAGCGCAGTTTGCGCAGAAGATTCGAGTGCATGGTATTGGAAGATGGGAAGGAAGGGCGCGCGCATCACATTGTGAAGGTCAATATTAACTTTACAGATTCCAATCAAATGTTTGGTTGCCAGAATTTTTTTTGCCAATATTGGTGTTTTTTACCATTAATAAAAATTTCCATCTTTTAAGTCCGTGATTTTTTTGAGTTCTGAGCTAATATTCTGCAAGGCTTTATGCATAGCAAAACACGAAAATTTATCCAGGGGCTTATTTGTATCAACGGTATTCAGTGTTGCCGCTGAAAATTTTTAGTGGTGGCCAGATTCGATATTAAAAGTGGCTAAAAATAGCTAAAAATGTTAACTTTTGGCTAAAATAAGTGGCTAAAAACTTTTGTTTCAAATCTAAATGTTTCACATTTATTTTGTCAAATTCAGGTACAAAAGTATTTACATACAATGTAAAAAACAAAAAAATTTGCATAAATTTATACAAAGTTAATACAACTCATATTTAAACTTTTCCTAAAAACAAAAAAGTTAGATATCACATTCTATATCTATTATATTATCGTCATCACTAATTGATTCTTCCTCTTCACAAAGCGGTTCTTTCTTCATTAATTTAATGAGATCTTCTGTTATTTCGAAATCATTACAACATTTTTGTACGTTCTTTAAGCCATATCTTATAGCTAAAATTGCATCCAACATTGCAAAACTAATTTTGTTTCGATGTTTGGTTTTAACAATATTCATTGCGGAAAAAGTTCTTTCCACTTCAGCATTGCTAAGTGGCAAAAGCAGCAAACAATATACAAAATCAGTTAGTTCATTAAAAGGATTTTCACCAACTGCATTTCTAAACTGTCGAACCTCGGACCAAAAATCTAGCGTATTATTTACATTTTTCCATGGATAAGAACATATATTTTTCCATTGCAATTCGATATTTTCAATTTCAGTCTCACTATACCGGACTTTCAAATCCGAAAAGTACTTAAACATATCCTGCTTTACAATTTTTAGCGAATTTTCGGCAGAAAGGAATTCAAGTTTTCGTAATGTTTCAATATTTTGTGGTAAACGTTGCCGCAATTGATAAACCAACTTCAAAATAAAATCTCTGCAGGTAATTCGTATGGTCTTTTCTATATTATCGTTCAGCGTATTATTTTCTTTTTTAATTCGAATATGTTCTTCAAAGCTATAGTGGTAGTATGGAAACGGCGTTAAATATTTTTCAATATTTGATGTTAAAGGATCGAAAGTCTCAAAATGACACACGATGTTATTACATAAACTGGTAATTAATCTTACAAGTTCTGAAAATAATTTGGTTGGGTCTGCCCCATTCGATTCAAACAGTTTGTTCACTTTTTGAACTTCAGATAATATCGGTTTGAGAAATTTTAGATAAGCTAAGTTAATGTCATTGAACATGTCGGACAGAATTTTCGCCTTGTGACAGGACTCGGATATAGCAGCTATGCCAAAATGACATTTTAATTCCACCCACTGGTCAACGATTCTTTTGATAGCCGGCTCTATGGAAAGCCATCGAGTGTCACAGGCTCTGGTTATTTTTAGTGGTATAGTATCATCATTTATTGCCCGAAAAATTGATTCATAGTGTTTCTGCCTGGATGAAGACTTGGAAAACCAATTGTAAGTTTCTCCAACCATAAATTCAACATCATTAGGCAAACATTTTGTAGCGGTTGAAACTGCAATTTGTATTGAATGGCATACACATGGTACCAGTGTTATAAAGGGATTTCATTCTTTTACACGGGCAATTACACCCCTGTTTACGCCAACCATAACACTTGCGTTATCGGTCCCTAACTCAACCATATTTTTAAAACTCAAACGATATTCTCGCAACACATTTTCAACAGCTCCTACAATTCCCGTTGCAGTGCAGTCAGTTAAATGTTGCAGTTTCAAAAAATGTGTTCACAATGCTGCCATTATTAGCGCTATAATAACGGATGACAATACTCAAATACTTCTTGACGGAAATGTCGGTGGACTCATCTATGATTAAACTGAATTTATTTTTGCCTATGTCTTCCATTAAGATATTTTTAAAGTAGGGATATAAGACATTTTTTATCACACCACCACATTTTGTTCGCCGTAGTTGCATATTTTTGGCAATTAAACTATCTTGAAAAACATTTTTTTGAAGCTGTGTCAAGTGGTCAATAATCCTAATCGAAGTATGTGATGCTACATATAATGCATTCGCTAGCTCAGCCTTGCAGGTCTCGTCACTCACTATCGCTTTGTATGTAAGTTTCGTCTGGTTTCCACTCGCAAATGGAGAAGCTGCAGCAAGGTTCTTCATGCTTTTCGCGTGCTTTAGGAGTCCATACACTTTTGGTTTAAGACGACAGTTACAATACTTACAACGAACGTAGGCTCCATCTTGAACAAGCCAATTTTGTAAGCGTTTATCTGCTAACCACGCTCCTCGCAATTTCTGCTGGTACTTTCTGGAATTAAAAGTTGTTTGTTAATTCACATTAGCTTGAATTTTATACGGATGACAATATTTCAGTACATACTTTGTAGTTTTGCTGCATGTGGCTTCATCTGGACTACCATCTGAGTCACTTTCATCCTCCTGGTGCTCATTGGTTGTTACCTGCTGTTGTTTTATCAAATATCTTTAAAAAAATGTTTCAAATTAGCATTGAAACGCAGAAAACATTGTTTTGTGTTTACTTACTTGTCCATTTTCTAAAGCGAACAAAATCTTGCACGGCAATAGCTTTGAATATAGAGCGCTTTTTAACTAGGAATAGTATACATATACAAATGATACATTTTAATCGATTGTTTGTTATCGCTAAATTGAATTAGCGATGCCACACTTTTCTCACGAGTAAATTATCCATAACTGAAAATTTTTGATTAATTTGGAAGAGGAAAAACTTATTAACTTAAACATTTAAGTTCATTATAAAAAGTGGCTAAAACGTGGCTAGTAGGAAAAATAAATTTTGGTGGCAAAAAAAAGCGGTGGAGTGGCTAAAAAAGTGGCTAGTGGCAAAAATAAATTTTGGTGGCAAAAAAAGAAGGCGGTGGCTAAATCTAGCCACCAAATGGCTAAAACGGCAACACTGACGGTATTTCGGGGTGTCTTTTTTTTGCTGATGGCAAAGACGGGAAAACCCCTGTAGTTACTGATTTTGCTTTCTTCCTCTTTCGTTGGGGATTAGGGGATAAAAATGAATACCTGTGATTAGCTAGTGGTGGTCCCTCTAGGGACATTTCATTTTACACGCAAAAAAAAACAAAACCAAATCAGCAGAAGCAACGTCACACGAAATAGTAGGTAAATGTGAACTAGTGAAGTAAAGAATAATCGCACAGACGAAAAAGGAAAAAGAAAAGAAAAAATAACACTACTACGCTGTGGAATCGACCATATGGTTCGGAGGGCAGTCGGTGACTGTGGAGGAAAAAAACGTTTCAAAACATTTTCTTCAAGATTTTTGCAGAAGGCTCTGTTGCAAATTAAAGGTTTAGAATTTTTTGTGAGCTTATCGATTTTTCTGTGCCTCTTTTGGACTCAGTAAATTTGCCTTTAATTTAATAACAACGGAAAGAAATAAAACAAGCACTTTATTTACCTTGCTTCATATATCCAACTATGAGTTTTCACAAAAAGTGGATTTAGCAATTTTTCACTTTAAGCTAGCGATATGTTAATGAGATGATAATTGGTCTTTCTTTGTAGGACTTTCTTTTAATTGGCAAATAAACTGTCAAAAAATTTTAGCTATTCACTGTAATAATTAGATTAAAAAATAAAAGAGCGCTGATAAAATTGTCACTGAATCGGGTTTCGATACAAGTACTTTCTTCCGATTATTATTTGGTGTTGAACGAAAAGTATCGACTATGTACTTGTATTTACTAGTATCGTTTTGTCCCTACATGTTTGGCATAACCGATGGTCAAATTTGAAAAAAATAAGAAATAAATAAAATAAGATAAACTCTCTAATACACCACGCTTTTATAAATGGACTAATATTTCTCAGTCCCATAGAATTTTTTTTGATAACTCATGATTTTGAAATTTTAGCAAAAGTCATTATAAACAACTTATGAGATCGAAAACGTGGTATATTAAAAAGTTTTTTATTTTATTTTATTTACTATTTTGTACTTTTTAGTCTTGTCTGTATAAAATTTTGCAATAGATATTAAAATAATTGAACGATATTAATAGATCGGTGCTCACACATATTAATACGGCACTCCCAGCATCCAAAAACACGTTAAAACACCTCCAAAGGCTTTCAAACACCTCAAAACGGCCACTGGAGCTCAAATCAGCCAACTGGGACGAAAGTAATTAGTTTGGGGGTAGTCCCAACCTGATTCCCAACTTGTCCCTGGCTTGCCTCAGTTTATATTCAACTGGTTCCCAAGTTACTCCACCAAATTCGCCACTGAGCCAAACACCATGTGTTCGTCTCTGTCTAGCCATTCGAAATTTTTTGTTGGGCTATGCGTTACATCTTCGCCAATTTTACCTTTACCGACACCAAAGATGTATACACATCAATAATTCAACGAAATTCTGATACATAAACATTGTATTTTATCAGACTTTATTTATATTCCCTTTCAAGATTCGCACATGCATATCACAGCGCACGGCAGTGCGCGCGAGTGACGAAAGCAGCCACAGTAGCATGCTGAAATGACTCGCTTATATATACACGAGATTTGGAAGTTTTTATCCAGACGTCCAATTGACATGTTTGAGATATCGTTGGAAAGGTCTTGCAGAGTGTGTCCAGAAAATTTATTCAAGCTTCATAAACGATTAACCGGATTCTTAAAAATTAGCCTAAAGTGTTTCGAAACAAAAAACGTTTTTTGGCTTTTGCCGGTTTAAGGGGGCATGTGGGTACACCCAACATATTTAGTGTTATTCTATAAGCCAATACCTTTCAAACGATACCTTACATGTTACGCTCCGGCTACTAGTTGAAAAGATATAGAGATAAATGTGTTTTGGTTCGTGTCTCCACTACGAGATGCTTTGGTATGTATGTGACGTCTGTACGTACCTTCATTAAATTTTTTTCAAACTTTCAGGAATTAAAGTACAAAAAAATCTAAGAAGGTTTCGCTACAGGATGTTTTGCTTCGTATGCCTTTGTGGGCGTGACTGCTGCCTGAAATTCGAAAAAGGGCAATATTTAAACTACGACTGAGGCCGCGCTACTCAGTCCATGTCATTGATGTTGATATCAGTAGAAGAGTCTTCAGACAAGCTATCTAACGCTATTTTTTGTGTTTGTAAAATATAAATATGTAATAACGTTATCGCCTGAAAACTAAAAATCTGGCTGCTGAAAATATACAATTCGGGAATTTTCTCAAACACTGGTCAGTCGATTTTATTCTAGGTTTCCACGAGTATAGCCCAAAACCTTAGGTTTCATCTGGTATATAGCTTATATCTGGGAAAACTCTTGTTGTGAAGATATTGCGATTCAAATTGAAAAAATGTCGCTCTAAAAAGGGTCCATTGGTTAAAAATTAACATATCCGTCTAATTTGGTTACTTTAAGATATAAAAATAACATACCCAGTTCCCCGAAAAAAATTGCCCATTCCCCGGTTGCCACTTAAACCGAAAATCCTTGCAAATCGGGGAATTTCCCGCGAGTTGACAAGTTGAAGGATGCAGCTGTGCTAATCGGTGACAGGTAATAAGATCAACGGAAATAAGGTCACCCTGGTGCGAAATAAAGTCAATTGACATTATTACCCTTTTAAAAACTAAATAAAGTCCATTGACATTATTTCTCTTTCAAACATTAATTTTGCTTAGCTTCGCGGCGGCCCGCGTTAGCGCGCTACCCCGCGCGTCCGGCGCGCACACCACGTCACGCTAAGCCGCGGCCCCCCTTCCCCGTCTCCCGCCGTGCTGTAACACAGGTAGATTTATTTTTTGTATACGTTGAAATAAAATTGTTGTATATTTTAAACATCGAGGGCTTATATTCAATAATACCCTCTATCTGCACATCTTTCACAAAGATGAGATTCTGATATAAAAATCCACCTAAGCTTTAACTGTCATCAGTGATATTAATGTTACCTTATATAACGACAGGTAATAAGTCCCAGATGGATTCTAAAATCACAAATTAGTTTTTGTGCCAACTGCAGATAGGGGGTATTAATGAATTCAAGCCCTCGATATTTCACCTTTTTATATTCGTAAGTTATTGGAAGCAGGGATGCCAACTTGGCTTAAACCGTGCCATTTGTCCCTATTTTACTTCAAATGGCACTTAATTTTTCAATTTGGCATAAAGTGCCAAAATGGCACTTTTGTAAAAAAAATAACATTTCAATTCAGTTTTGTGAAATCCTTTGCTTGCACTTCTTTTTCTCAACTAAAATTTTCTAATTTATAAATGCCATTTATTTTGTTTATCCTATTTTATCATTGCACTTTTGTTTTGAAAATGTGGCTTTATTTTATTGATAAATGTGAATGATTAAAAGGAATAACACCTTTTTTGGCACTTTTATTTGCAGTAAAAAGGCATATAATTTGTGTTTCAAAAGTGTGTGAAAACCAATCAATTAACTTATATGATCTCGGTTCCGATATTAAATAATCAATAATTGTTTATACCCGCATTTTGGCACATTGGCTCGTTGAATATGCCATCTCATAAATAGTGTCGTCATTCTACTTAGCTGCTTTTAAATGATGTCGTCACAAATTGCTGGCGGAGACATGAATACAGTGTAAGAAAAGTCTTTCTATAATTGTTTCCTTATAGAAAGGTTGGTTTCTATGCTAATTTAAAACACAGAATTCTTTCAGTGCTCCTCCGGGGTTTTTGGACATGTTTCTTCAATTTAAAAAGATTTTCCTTACGTTTCAAAGGCAGTTAAAAAATGCGTACAATTTTCGTCACGAAATTGATATCATAAATTTTGTGTTTCTAGTTCAGCTTTCGTCACTCGAAAATTTTACCTCAAAGAGGTGTTTTATTTGATAGTACATACATACATACGAGCGTGTCGTCCATTTCCGCTGTAGCGTATGTAGTGTATACTTTGATTATAATCTACAATTATAGCAAAGGTGTTTGGAGATACAACATGGCAAGTTGATAAAAGCTTTGTAAAATAGGGGCTAATTAAAAATTAACCGATGAAAACTTCCAACTCGACACTATTAAGCTAGCATTTCAAGGTACTATTTTCCATATATATATGTACAACTTGGATGTTAGGGGGTGTTTGGGGTTATGTTGAGGGATGCCAGGAATTTCTTCCAAGGTAAATGATGAGCAATCGTTTCTTGGTACTAAACGCGAGAATATTTATTGAAGTATTTTAATGACAATTATGATGATGTTAAATGGAATAAATATTATGAGCGGGAGAAAAATGACATGCGTAGTGAAAATCGCGTGCGTTTTACCGATGATACCGTAACTGTTCCACTGCCCAGAGACGTGTTTTTTTGTTCATCGTACGTCGACAGCTATTTGAGTTCATTATTGGGAAGTGTTCAGAAAATCCTTAACATTTCCCGCCCACCTCGTCATATTTCGACGAAAAATCACGTTCGCCGCAAACCGTAGGTGTCTCGTCCGAAGAATTGGGCGCTTCTGTAGGAATAGGCAGCACAGATATCTTCGATATTGGCCGTTGTATCGCGGTAGTTGCCGTTTTTAAACTCACGATGCGAACAAGTCCATCAGAGCCCGGATGGGTATCTGTAATTCGAGCCCGTTTCCATTGAGCAGCGGGTACTTTTTCATCTCTAACAAGCACAAGTTCTCCAACCTTGACATTTGGTTGTTGTTTGTGCCATTTGGAGCGAACTTGCAGATGATGTAAATACTCTGCAGACCATCGGCGCCAGAAGTCTTGATATATCTGGCTAAGTTGTTTCCAGCGGCACAAAAGGCCACTCTTTGTATCGAGAAGATTAGGTTCTGGGACGCTGGTAAGAGCGCGCCCAATAAGCATGTGCCCTGGTGTCAGCGCAGCGAAATCCGTAGGATCATCTGTGAGTGCAGCAAGTGGTCTAGAGTTTAGACACGATTCGACTCGCTTGAGCACTGTGTAAAATTCTTCAAAGGAGAGTGTTGTAGTGTTGATTGTGCGTTTTAGCAAGGCTTTCATGCTTTTAATGCCGGCTTCCCAAAGCCCGCCAAAGTTTGGAGCTCCTGGGGGTATGAAATGCCAGTTTATACCAGTCCGTGAGGCATAGCTAGTCGCGGCGTCTAACTGCTTCCGAAAATTTTCAAGTTCTTCTTAAATCAGCGCGTCAGCACCAACAAGTGCAGTACCTCTATTGCTATACATGTCTGAGCAGATGCCACGTGCAGCTACCAAACGTTCTAATGCATGAATAAATGATTGAGTTGTCATATCGCTTACCAACTCAAGATGAATGCCTTTACTGGCCAAACAAACGAACAATGCCACGTAACCTTTATAGCTCTTGTGTCCCCGCCCCTTGGTTGCTCGTACGTTGAATGGTCTAGCGTAATCGACGCCGGTGTGCATTAACGGGAATGTTACAGTGCAACGTGCTGCCGGAAGATCGCCCATCATTTGGTTGTATGGGGTGCAGCAATGTCGATAACATTTGACACAGCTGCGTATTACGCGTTTCACTTCCGTACGCCCATCGATAACCCAGAACTGGCGTCTTACATAACCCAGTGTTGCTTGCGTACCGCCATGAAGACACCGATGATGAGCATGGTGCACAATTAAAGACGTGATAGGATGCCGTTTGGGCATGACAATAGGGCATCTTTCGTTAAACGGCATATCTGCTTTCTGCAATCGCCCGCGTAGACGCATAAGCTTTCAGAATCCAGTGTTAAATTTTGCTTTCTTAGCTTAGTTTTTTTTGAAAGTTCTTTTGTTGTTGTAGAGCTAACATTGCATGCTTAAATTCAGCTTGTTGCGTCATCTTAATGAGTATCTTTAGCGCTTTGTACCGTTCTGTCCAGGTGCAAAACGATGCCAGAACACTCGATTTGTTTCGGCACTTATTTGAAAACCGTAAGCACCATCCAATTATAGCGATGAGTTTGTCGAGGCTCGAATATTTTGTAGTAAGTGTATACAACCAGTCTTGATTATTAAGTTGTACTGTACAAACAGTGACTTCTCTGGTTTCTGGGATATTTTCCGGAGAATTTATTTTATGTTGAGGCCAGTATTGTTCATTCAAGGAAAGCCATGCTGGCCCGTTCCACCATAGTGCGTTTGACAGTAAATTGTTGGCCGAAATACCTCTCGAAGCACAATCTGCCGGATTTTGTTTCGTTGAAATATAGCGCCAGGCTGCGTCGGAAGTGACGTTCTGAATGTGCGTGACACGGTTCGAAACAAACTGCTTCAATTTGCCTGGGGACGATCGGATCCGACAAAGCGCAGTTACGGAGTCTGTCCACAGTAGACATCGATCCAATTTGAACGATAATGCATCTTTGGTTTTTGTCAAGAGAACCGCGGCGAGACGAGCACCACACAATTCCAGTCGAGGAATTGGCAGTCGTTTTAAAGGTGCCACTTTCGTTTTCGCCATTAGCAAATTGACTGAAGTATAACTCTCAGTTGTTAATTTTATGTAGACTGCAGCAGCGTACGCTGCGCTCGAGGCATCAGAGAATACGTGTAGTTCCACGGTGCAGTTCCCGACTACTTTTAGCCAACGCGGGATATGCAAATTTTGAAGTTGTTGTAATTCATTTCGATAAACTGTCCATTGACGCTGAATACCTTGGGGCAGGGTCTCACCCCAATCTAACTTCCAGTCCCATAGCCGCTGCAAAAAGATTTTGCCTCTTACGGTTACAGGAGCCACGAGTCCCAACGGATCGAATACTCTAGCAACATCACTCGCTATTTGACGTTTGGTGAAGCACGTAATGCTGTAATCCAAATCAATGCTATATGTTAGCATATCAGTACGAGTAAGCCAAACTATTCCTAAAGGCTTGGTCCTGTCGCTCATGCCTAACTCCAATGAGTCCGATGGATCACGATCGCATGGCTCAATAGCGTTCAAGGCCTCAATAGCGTTGGAGTTGAACTTACGCAAACTAAAACCGCCGGCCTGCAGCAGCGATTTTAATTGATGCATATTGTTGATAACGTCATCGTGTGTGTCGCCTCCGGATAAGACGTGATCTATGTAAAATTCAGTTTCGAGTGATTTTGCCGCTTGAGGGAATTTCTCTCGTTCATCATTTGCGAGACGTCGTAAGACTTTAAGTGCCAAGTACGGTGCACAATTAGTCCCATACGTTACGGTCAGTAGCGTGTAGCTGGTGGGTGAATCCTCTGTAGGAGTACGCCAATAAATTCGTTGAAGTTCAGCATCTTCGCGGTCCACCAAAATCTGCCTGTATATTTTCTCGATGTCACCCGTAAATGCAAATTTGTATTGTCGCAACTTCAGAAAAATACTGGCCAAACCATTCTGCAACTTTGGCCCAGTGTACAGACAGTCGTTCAGCGATACCCCCGTGGAGTATTTCCGTGCGGGATTGAACGCCACACGTAGTTTTGTAGTAGTGCTGGAAGCTTTCCACACAGCGTGGTGTGGTAAATAGCACATGTGACTAGCATTGTTGTCGTTCGTCACTTGCATGTACCCGGGTTCACGATACTCTTCCATAAACTTTTTATAATGTACTAAGTTCAGGTTCGCGAGCAAGCCGTCGAGGTGTATTTTCTAACAAGACTAGCGCATCTTGCTTGCTAGGTGCAAGCTGTTGAAGGTCAGCGCCCTTTCACACAGGGAGTTTCACGATGTGTCGGCCGAGACTGTTACGCCTTGTAGTTTGCTCGAACAGGTTTTCGCAGTATACTTCATCTTGCGTCACGCTCGTTGAGTTCCTCAAGCTCCCAGAAAAGACGTAATGTATGCTCCAAGTCGATGTGTGTGTTGTAGCACTGGGCTCTGTGAGTATCACACATACTCTTATAATCAGATAACCCACCAAAGATGATCCAGGCTAGTTGCGTATGCTGTTCCACCATTCCATTAGTAGCGATTTGTTTTACTTCGCTGCGTATTATCATGGCGTAGTCTGCCGCACTCAGGATGATTTCAATAGCACCGGGTTGGTACCACTTGGGATCAGCTAACTTTAACTGACCCAATTCTGGGAATTCGGTATTCGGGATGTGCTTACTAGGTGTAATGTTCCCTACCCTTGGAAGTACCAAGCCGATACACTCCATCTCAAAATCATATTTTAGTGATCGAATAGTGACTTTGGCCAATGCCTTCGCACAAGCCATGCTCGTACCAGTTGCCCCGCTGATCGGGATCTTAACTACTGTACGTTGTAACTGCAACTGTCGTGCTGCAAACTCACTAACGAACGTAGCTTCGGCTCCGTTATCGATTAATACTCGCAAGATGTGTTTATGTCCATTCGGACCACGTGCTTCCACAAACGCGGTGGCCAACAGCACTGTCGGCAAATAAGCTGGTGAATGGTTAGACATGTTTCCAATACATGTGTTGTTGGCTGTTATACGTCATGCGACATTCGTTGTACTCGAATCCGCTATATTACTTTGCGACACTCCTTGTTGTGCCACATTAGGTTCGGTCTTATTACAAAAAACACCATGCAATAATGTGTTGTGCTTTGCTTTGAAAACTGAGCAACGCCTCTCGGACGGACACACCCGTAACATATGTCCTTGCCTTAGACTATTAAAGCATATCTTATGACTCATGACCAGCTCTTTCTTTGCACTTGAAGCCTTAAATTGTTTGCAATGCTGAACGATATGCTTATCTGAACATATCGGACATGTTGCAGTTGAAGTGTGAAAACCTTTAACAGTTTTCAATTTAGCTGCCTTTTGAGGTTCATCATACGCTAACTTTATGACCTCCAATGATTGAATACGATTTGCAAGGATATTCTTAAACCTTTCATCGCTTGAGCTAAGAGACAGTTCCCATGCCTTACTTGTAGCAACATCCAATTTATTAGTGTGATACTGAACGGCCAAGATGTTCTAACGCCCGCAATGCTGCTGTTACTCCGTCACACAACACCCGCAATTGACTGGCAGTTTCAGCATCAACTTTCGGCAAATTCATAATTTGAGTTAAGTACGAGTTGATAATTATGCGCTTGTTCGGATACTTCTTAACAAGAATGTCCCATGCAACTTGAAAATTCGCATCTGTTGTCACAATATTGTCAAGAACATGTTCCGCATCACCAATCAGTGCGTTTTTGAGATACTGAAGTCTCTGTGTGTTACTCAAATTTGAATGGTTAGATACAACCGATTCAAAAATATCTTTGAATGCGTACCAATGTAAAAAATTACCATCAAAAGTTGGAATCTTAGTTCGTGGTAACGTAGTCATTTGCTGTATACAAACAGTCGTTGTATTTGTTGAATTTTCCGCGTTTGCAGTAATGTTGTGAGATTCTGTTCGCAATGCGTTGATGTCGTCAATTAATTCGCCCAGGTTTTCTGTAAACAAATATTCATTCACCGCAGTAACATCACCTTTATCAGCAGTCGCAGCGAACAACCTTAGTTCATCATAACATGTGTTGTATTTCATCCAATATGATTCCAGTAACGTTTTTCTTGCTGTCAAATAGCTTGCAGATCGACGGTCTTTTGCCACCTTTCACGTGTTGGTCATGAAGTTGGTTATGCGCAACGCAACTCCCTGAATTTTGGTCAGTTGAACCTGCATCTTAGTTAGAGGAAAATGTGCTATAAATTTATTCCTGTAAAATGTAAACACAAGCCGAAGTTGCCACTAGACCTCAAAATCAGCCTGTTTAACAGTTTTGGCTATATTTCTTTTGTTTACTTAATATTTAACATCTATATATATAAAAATGGTGTGAAAAATGTATAGTAATTCATCAATTGAGAACGGTTGGGCCGATTTGGCTAATTTTTTTTCAGTTGTTCTTAGTTGCCAGGAGAAGGTTTTTAAGAAAGAAAATTTTGGGAAAACCCTCCGGTGGACCAGGGACCGATCTATTCGAAAAAATCGTATTTATGGTCCGATTTGCTTAAAATTTGGTACGTAGGTAGCATTTTGCCTAGGTTAGCATATAGAATCCTTTTTTCCGGGAAGTGGACCAGGGACCGATCTATTCGAAAAAATCGTAGTTATGGTCCGATTTGCTTAAAATTTGGTACCTAGGTAGCTTTTTGCCTAGATTATCACATAGGATGCTTTTTTCCGCGAAGTGGACCAGGGACTGATCTATTCGAAAAAATCGTATTTATGGTCCGATTTGCTTAAAATTTAGTACGTGGTTAGCATTTTGCCTAGATTAGAACATAGGACGCTTTTTTTCCGGGAAGTGGATCAGTGGTTTCACTTCTTCTTATCCGCCATGTTAGCTATCTGACAGAAAACGTGTTTCGTATTTTTTGTTGTACCAACTTTTTCAAAAAAAGTTCAGCTTTTGACGTTGGAAAAATAAAACAAAGGAAAGGCAAACATACAAGTAGAGAATTTGTCTAATATTTTTAAATCATTTTCTTCATAACTGCTGCTTCCGTGGATATTGCAACACACGGAATAGATGTAATAATGCAGCTATAGAAGGCAGCTCATACCACAGAATTTATCGGCCGCCTATTTAAATAGTAGGGCTCGCTTGAAATATGTACATGAAGATGTATGGAGGTGGGCACACTACACCAACTTAATCCCTCCGACCAATTAGTTGTGGAGCAATGGAAAGACTAGCAAGCCCAACTAAATCGGCGGCCGATAAAGTCCGTGGTGTGCGATGGATCTAAAACATTTTAAACAAGAAATATTGCAGTCATATTTTCGTTTTTAGGATTTTTATTCATGTGATTAGCAGTGGCAAGAATGTATGTATTAAATACGTATATCTATCTATATATATAAAAATTACTTCGAGATGGCTCTCGAATGGTAAAATAGAAAATTCTAAGTGGAAAACTCATAAAAATCCGGAAGAACGCAAAAAATTTGAATTTTTTTCGACGAAAGCTTGGAAAATTTCAGATAATTGTGAAATTCATTGGGAGCTTGAATCAATTGGGAACATTTTTCTCCTATGTTTCATAACTGATTCGAATGGGTGCTGCTCTTTTGGAATCGTGTTTAGAAGAAGGAGTGAATAAAGTTTTAATTTTTCCGATAGTTGGCGCAGGGGTCGAGTTATGCTTAAAAAAATGCAGTTGGTTCTTTGGTAGCCTTTTGCCTAGATTAGCATATAGGATTAATTTTTTCCGTTAAGTGGGTCAGAGACCGAACTATTCGAAACAGTCTTATTAATGGTCCGATTTGCTTGAAATTTAGCACGTAGGTAGCTTATTGGCTGGGTTAACATATATGATATGATTGATACTTATTACACAGGCCAACAAAAATGGAAAACAAATTTATGCAGCAAATGTTAACGCTAATTTTGACAGATTTTTTTGTGCTGATTCCGAATCCGTAAGCAAAAAGTTACCATCAGCTCCATATTTTAAGAAAAACCGAGGTCAAATTGTCAAAAAATGGAGTTTTTTGCAATATTTGAGAAGCTCTAGCAAAGAAACAAGGGGTGGTAGAACCTTCCACTTAGGCTTTGATTAAAGCAAGTTCCCGCACCTTTGCTTGATGGTCACTTAGGGCTGGTTTCTCCAACTCAACTTAACTTATTTTAGCCACTTTTGGACTTGAGTAAAAAGTTAGCCTACGTTTTACACAGCTTATTCTTGACTGAGTCGAGAAAATTGGCTTAACTAAGTTGAGTTGGAGTAACCAGCCCTTATAGTCATTTGCTGAACAGGAATAACTGATTTCGGGAAGTTTGAGTTCCTACCGCAATTAAGCAAAAGTTGATAGAACCTTCCACCTAGGCTTAAATTAAAGCTAGAACTACAGACTACCATCCCTGAAAGTACTATTCCTGCACCTTGCCCTAATGGTCACCTATACTCATTTACTTTTTATCGTCAAAAATGATGTAAAAGTTGGTGTTAGCTGTTAAATAAATGACTATAGGTAGCCTTAGGGTCAAGGTGCAGGAATGGTACTTTCAAGGATTGAAGTCAGAAGCCCAAGCCTTAATTCATGCCTAATTGGAAGGTTCTATGACCTTTCGTTTCATTGCTAGAGCTAAAAAAAATTTTTTGTACACTTTCACCACATTTTTCTCAAAATCTGGAGCTGATGGAAACATTATACTTACGTATTCTTAATCAGCAAAAAAAAGCCTATTAAAACCAGCTTCAACATTTGCCGCATCAAAATCGGTGTTGCCCTGTGTTACCTACACTAATATATAAAGACAAGCTCCT